AGGCCCCCCCAGCCCCCCCCCCCCAAGTTTGCCCCCCCCCCAAGTGCGAACCTGGGTGGCAAATTGCGTTTAAAAACCTAGGAAGGACCGCCTTCCCACCCTGCCCCCCAAAGCCGAGAGAAAGGAGGGAGTCGGACAATGGCAGCCTGGGGGTTGACAATCTACCCCTACCTCCCCGAAGCGGGTAGGGGGAGGTGAGGGTGGGGACATTCCAAAGATACCGCCACCTCCCTCCTGCCCAAATGCGGATTCATATTCATGAGAGCAGGGGAAATAAAGACAGATGTCCGCAGTAACAGCGCTTGGATTCGCATCCGTCTTTGCTGGCCTTTAGGTTTAGGGGACTGAAGACAGATGTTTGTCCCCTTTCTCGTCTTGTCTGGTGACCATAAAGGAAAACCATTTAGAGCGTTGCCATTTGTTTCCCGCCGCCGTAAAAGCTGGTGCGCATTTATTTTCATTGCGCCCCCATGCACAAAAACGCGCACGCTGGTCACCAAGGGCCCTTCTTTATCAAATACGCATTGTACAACATACAACTGCAATAAAACTATCACCAGGCTTCTGTGGAGGCCCGCTGCCTGCACTCCCGACTCGGGCGCGTCCTAGCGTCCCAGGCCCTGCCATCGCCTGAAACTCACCCTGCGCAGAGGCACGAGGCTGGGGCCGCTGTCCCTGTGTCATCCATTACGGCGTCCGCGGCAGTTTAGCGCGCAATAAAACACGGTGGCAGGGGGGAGCGGGCGCCCATCCACTCCCCGGCACTAGCATCGAATTAAACCACTTAGTTTGGCAAATACTGCAAGCCTAAATGCCCCTATAAAGACTTTATGAGTTTGTTACTTTAATTACTGACTTGTTACAGAGCACATAAAGGGGTAATGAATGCAATAAAACTAATTATCTACACATTTAATTCATATAAAATATCCGGGGTTTGTTTACACCACACGGCGATTCAACTAAGCATCCCCCCTCTTGTCCACTGAGAGGGAGGATTTAATGAAATAGTTTCCCTTATTTTGCTAGAGCCTAACGAACCAAATGAAAATTACCCTCCGCTTAAATCATGGGGCCACCGAGGTCCGCAAATTATGGCTCACTTCTTTGTTCGCGCCTGGCTGCCAGCACCCAAGAGCCTGAGGAACCCGGAGGAGGAAGGTGCAGCCCTGGCCTGAGCATTTAAATCGCAAGGATTTCTCTCATCGCGGTCTGCAAATCCTAGGGGCAAAGAGAAGACAATTCTTTTTTGGAAGCTCTGGACTGCGGAGGATAGTAAGCACCTTAAGAAAAAAGAGAGAGGCAGAAAGAGAGGGAACCCCAGAGAGAGAGCAGAGGAGCATATTTGGGCACACTTCCTTCTGTTTTCCAGTTTGGTCGTAATTATAAAACAATTGCACCAAGCCTCCCAAGCAACCAAATGCAAAGGGCTTGCTAATGCAGGTGGACAGAGACAGGAGCGCAAAGCATCCAGCCCTTGAGAATCCAGAGGTTTTACATTCAAGAGCTTTACCCAGATTTTTTTTTTTTCTTTTACACCGCTGTCTACGGAGTCTCCTGAAAGCATCTTCAGCCCCAAGGAAAAAAAAAAAAATGCAATTTCAAAATGCTCCATTTTTTTTTAAACCCCCTCTACCAGGTGTACTTGAAAGAAATCCGCTTTTCCTTCGCATAAATGCCCTTGGCCGGCTTACTCTGTGTTCTGGGGCGCCCGAGTCTTGTCAATGTCTCAGTCCTTTATAACATTTCATGCACTTCGGGGGGTAGGCTTGTTGTTAAATTGAGCGTGTAACACTCTTACAAAACAGGTTTTCTATGACATCAAGGTTTCTTTTCCCCCGATCTAGGGAAGAGAGGGAAAAAAAAAAAAGAGAGAGGACGAAGAAGGGGGAAAATACACACCCTATCTCCATTTATGCCTAAGGTATATGATCAGTTAAAAAGGCTTAAAAGCTCGGGGAAATTGGATCACGGAGAATCGTCACCCAACTTTCATTATTTCCAAGCAGTGTGATTGAATTAAAGGGCAGGGAGCTGGTTAGAAGGGAGGACTGGGGGCTCGGTGCGTAATGGTGTGGTATTAAATTCTAATTAGAGATGCAGGAATCAATGATAGGGAGTTTGGACAGCTCAGTTCCCCAGTGCCAACCCAATAGACGGATGAGTTATTGTCATGTAAAAAGCGCCAGGCAATAAGACCAACCGCTCTGCTATTGTCCAAGTGGAAAGAGCCAAGTTTATTATGAGGACTATATGCTCTAGAGACCTCAGACAAGGCATCTCATAGGCTTTTTCATAAAACTAGGCTCTGCCGGTAGTAAGGAAGCCAGTTTGGGGGCAGGCGTTGAGCTGTTCACATCTCCCCGTTCAGCCACCTTCTCCATACTCATCTTTGGTTTCCTTTTGCCACTTGGCTGAGCCATCCAGAACCTTTTCAATGTATAAAATGGAATATTCTTACCTCAATTCCTCTGCCTACGAGTCCTGTATGGCTGGAATGGACACTTCGAGCCTGGCTTCAGCCTATGCTGACTTCAGTTCCTGCAGCCAGGCCAGTGGCTTCCAGTATAACCCGATCAGGACCACTTTTGGGGCCACGTCCGGCTGCCCGTCTCTCACGCCGGGATCCTGCAGCCTGGGTACCCTCAGGGACCACCAGAACAGTCCATACGCCGCAGGTAAGGACCTCCAGCTTTCTCGGCGGTGGAAACCGCCTTTCGGCTCGTATATAGGGAAGCCTTGATTGCATTTGAAAATGGAAATGTGTTTAGTATTTACCAAACGAAATTTGCTTACACAAATGAAAGAATTTATCACGTTAGAAGCGATTGCAGGGAGGGGTAATTCACTTACAGGGTTACACTATCCTAGTCACACCCGAACCGCCAACAAAATTATCTTAAGCTGCCAAAATGATAGGCATAATTTATTTACTTTGCGATGAGACGTAAAGCTTAGAAAATAATTAAATAACAAAGAGTAAAGCTCATTACTGCCAGTGTCTCTCTCTTTTTTTTTAAAGAACCGACAGTGGCTCACACCTCCTTGGCTGGTCATTGGGATGATCGTTTCTTTAATTTATTATCTTTTTGCAGCACTGTCTCCCAACTTTGGGGCCGGGTCAACTTTGGAGAATGGGGAAGTTCCCACTGGGTAGCGTTTGGGAACTTCTCGGATTCCCTATTCCGATCGACGTTTGCGGACTTTTTTCCTCTCTCATTTTTTTTTTCTTTTTCATTTCTTCTCTTTTTTTCTTTCTTTCTTTTCTTTTTTTTTTTTTTTCTGCTGAAAGCACTACCCCGTATCCGGGGCCTCGAGCCTTCTCTAATGCGCTATTCTAACCTACCCAAAGCGTTTGTACCAGACCGGACCCCTCAAAGCCCAAAGTGAACTCCGGTTTCCGTAAATATGTGCTCCGGTTTTCTCGGGGACCCTGAAGGGGTCCCTGAAGGCTACTGCCCCCCGCCGCTGTCGGTAGCAGCTCCCTAGCGACCTGACCTGGAGGCCCCATTGGGCAGCCCCGAGGCCCGCGCGCTCCTCGGGGTGAGGTTCACCCTCTGTCTCCGCTGTCACCCCCAGTTCCTTACAAACTCTTCACCGACCACGGCGGCCTCAACGAGAAGCGCAAACAGCGGCGCATCCGCACCACCTTCACGAGCGCGCAGCTCAAGGAGCTGGAGCGGGTCTTCGCCGAGACGCACTACCCGGATATCTACACCCGGGAAGAGCTGGCCCTGAAGATCGACCTCACCGAGGCACGAGTCCAGGTACCCCGCACTGCCGCCCGGCTCCGGGCACGTGGTGGGAGAGAGAGGCGGGTGCTGATGCTGGAGGTTCGAATCCCCAGGGTTCCCAAAAGAAGGGCGCAGGGGTCCGGGGCTCTGAGCGGCTGGGAGAGGAGGGATTTGGTGCGGCCCAGCGCTCGGTGAGGGGTTAGGGTGCTCGGAGCTATTTATTCACAGCTGCAAAGCGTTTCAAGCATAGGCATTGGGGACCTGGGGACCCGAATGCCTCCTGGGGACCCGAATGCCTGAGGCCTTTCAGGACAGAAGGCGCCCTATGGGACGAGTGCGTGCTTTGCTCTCATTTAAGTATTTTTGGCCCAGACGCCTCTTAACTCAGCGCCTTTGGCCTGGACTCCGTGGCGTATGGGTGCGTTTCCCCGGGGTCTTGCATCAGATTTACAAAGGGGCTGTGACCCCGTGAAGGTGAACACCCGGGGTGCACTCAGGAACTGGCCAGGACCCTCTCCATGAGCCCCCCAGTGGAGGGGCAGGGCACTCCATCGCCGACCCCTCTGGACCCACAGGAATGGGGTGTACCCAGGCAGGAACCCCGGAGGCCCCTCTGCCAGAATTCTAGCCATCAAACTTGAGAGCTGAGGCCTGGATCTGGCGCGCTTGGGGGTTGCCCAGAAGCGGATGGCAAAGGCCCAGCGAGTTCAGGGCTATCAATCCTGGTCTTCCTGGGATCTGTGGCCTCTTCTGCAAGCAGCCGTTTCCCGGGCACGCTCACCCGGCGTGGGGCGAGCTCGCCCAAGATGCGCTAGCAGCAGGGGGGCTGGAATGGGGCTGGGCCCCTCCACTTCGGCGGGGTCTGGGGGTGCTCAAACGAGTCGCAGTGGGCCGCGGACCCCCCCTAACTAGCGCTTCTCCCCCTTTCTCCTCCTTTCCCGCCCTGCTCGCCTCTCCTCCCCTCCCGGGCCAGGTGTGGTTCCAGAACCGCCGGGCCAAGTTTCGCAAGCAGGAGCGCGCGGCGGCGGCCGGCGCGGCCGCGGGCCAAAAACGGGTCTCCGGG